ATCAATTTATTTAGGCAGTACATGTAATGCATTTTTTACTGTACATTGTGCAGCACATTTTGTACAAACCCAAAATCTAGTGAATAAATGTAAAAAAAACAAACAGAGTGAAGTTATTCACAAATCTCATAAGCTAAGAAAATCTCATATGCCAAGATGGCCACGCTCAGAGCAGTTGCAGCTTCACAGGCTTCCGGTACGATCCCAGTTTTTAGAAGTTTTGATACTGACTCTGTGCCTGACTCCGCACGATATGTGCGTGTGAACTATTGCCGAACCGAATTGATGAGAATAGGAGTGGATTTGCCACAAAATAAAGCAGAAATCAGCAACAAACTCAAAACTATGCTTGGCAGAATGCAGATCTTAAAGTCATCTACCTGGAAGCTACGTCAGAGGCGTTCCAACGGGCAGAAGAGGAAGCACTGCTCCCAGCTTTAAAAGAGAGGACGCCGGGTGGGGGTTCTGGTGAGGCTACGTGCTAACGCTAAATCTGGAAAACTCCCGATGCCATCTTTCTCTCTGTCGAACGTCCGCTCGTTGGACAACAAGATGGATTTACTTCGTCTGACAGCAGGCACCTCAGAAGAGATGATGAAGTGTGCGGTGCTTTGCCTCACAGAAACATGGATTACAAGTGAAACGTTGGATACAGTCTTCCAGATGGATGACAGACTCTTTTTTTCCGAACGGATCGCTGCAGAGAGCTAACGGGGAAATCACAGGGAGGCAGAGTGTGCATTTACGTGAGTAAAAGTTGGTGCACGAACTGTACTGTTGTAAAAAAAACTCATGCTCAAAGGCTTTGGAGCAGATAACAGTGAAATGTCGGCCACATTATCTACCCTGCGAGTTCACAGTGACTTTCATTACAGTTGTTTACATTCCTCCGGATGCTAATTCTAATGACGCTCTGCAGGAGCTCCATGATCTCCTCAGCTCGCTGCAGAACAAACACCCTGAGACTCTTTACGTGGTAGCCGGAGGCTTTAGTGATGTGAATCTAAAGGACTGCCTAACAAGTTTTTACCAGCATGTGGGCATACCAACATGTGGAAACAACACGCTGGACCGTGTTTACACAACCCTAAAAGATGCATACAAAGCTGAACCCTGCCCCCACCTAGGACTGTCGGACCACATCTCAATCTTCCTGGCTTCTGCTTACCTGCCCCCGCTGAGATGCTCCAGACCAGTTCAAAAGGAAGTCAGATCTTGGATCCAAGGCAGTGGCCCCACACTGAGAGATTGTTTTGAACGAACAGACTGGCAGGTTTTCAGAGAAGCTGCTGAAAATGGAGGATCGCTTGATCTGGACCAACTAATTCTAAGTCAAAATCACAAAAGTCATCCAGAGGAAATCATCAAAAATGACTCACACATCAGTCTGGTCTGTCAAGTGTCTAATTCTTTTCCCCAAACGACCTCAAGAGAGCGTCTCAAACCTGCACGTCATGCAAAACAGTGCACCGGAATGGAGGTGAACCAACAAGCTCCAAATTATGCATGAACTGGAACAGGTGTGTCAACCATAATCAAAGTAGGAAAAATCCAAACACCACAAGTCGACAAATTCAATCAAACATGCTGCCCCAAGACTGCCAAAATTCAAGTTACAGTTATCAAAATGGCAGCATGCAAACAAACTTTAATTCTAACCAAACCAGCAAAATATCACAAAACAAAGCTCTAACTAATGAGAACGACGAGCCCCACATTTTGTCACAACCTGGCTCTGGGGTTGCAACAAAAAAAAGAGGGAAAAGGACACAAAGTATGGTTTTATAAGTGTTTATTGTAAAATATAAATTTAATGACCAGATGGAGAACTCATACCTGTAAAAAAGAAGTTGAATTAACCAGAATGACCAAGCCAAACCAAACCAAATAAGCTGACCAAATAAACTAACCAAGCAGGCCAAGTCAAAACCAAATTAAATAAACTCAGACAACAAATCAGAATAACCAAGACAAATCATAACTCAAGGAAGACCAGCAAGCAAGGAGACAGGACAGGCCTAATGTCCTCCTCCTCGAGCAACACAACACGTCTCTCTTTATACTGGGCTGAGCCAGCAACTCTGGTGTTCCCAATCAGTCAAGGAAACACACAACAGAAAACTGACTCTTCCCCAAACGGCTTACTCCAAAGTGGAACAAACCAGTTCTGTTGGTGTTAAGATGGTCTCTTTGGCACGCCCCCTCCTCTGGTGCCAGCCCTCTTCCTCGTCGACAGTCATGTCAAACTGGTTCAAAACCAACAAAGTCTATACTCAATAATCCAGGTATACAATCCAACAATTTTCAGTCAGGTGATCTGAACAGTTTCTTTTTTTTGTGTGTGTGTATGTGCTGAAACGTTTCACCTTCCATCCAGAAGGCTTCATCAGTCAAGGAAACATACAACAGAAAACTGATTCTTCCCCCAACAGCTTACTCCAAAGTGGAACAAACCAGTTCTGTTGGTGCTCAGATGGTCTCTTTGGCATGCCCCCTCCTCTGGTGCCGACCCTCTTCCTCGTTGACAGTCATGTCAAACTGGTTAAAACCCAACAAAATCCATGCTCAATAATCCAGGTATACAATCCAATAATTTTCAGCCAAAGAGACCATCTTAGCACCAACAGAACTGGTTTGTTCCACTTTGGAGTAAGCTATTGGGGGAAGAATCAGTTTTGTGTTATGCGTTTCCTTGACTGATGAAGCCTTCTGGATGGAAGGTGAAACGTTTCAGCACAAACAAAAAAGAAACTGTCCAGATGACCTGACTGAAAATTGCTGAACATTTTACTACATTTTCTTATTTGGTCAAGTATATGAATCTGCTCTTTTTATAGGGGTTGCCATGCACAGCATTGGCTGTTTGTATAGATGAGTGTTTTTGAATTAAATTTTCAGTATTTTTGCTTGAGGAATAAAACTTCTGAACATTTTGGTTATCTTGATTATCTGGTGCGATTAAATATTTTGCTTCCACAGAGGCCCAGGCAGTGATGGGACCACCTTGTGTCCAAGGACCAGACAGGTGCAAACGATCCAAGCCACACTCCCACTGAGACTGTGGTACCACTTTGGATCCGTTAGAAAGCAAAATGTTTTTCCCGCCATCTCAAGGTCAGATTGGTTCTGTTGTAAAAATCATGTCTGGTTGATGATTTATCAGCCCAGAGACTTAGTACATCATCCAGTGGTTAAACTTGTTTGTATATTTGGACAGTAACTAACTGGAGGACACAGAAAACAAAGAAAAGTGTTACGTTTGATTAGACACCATTCCAACAGTTTCATCAGCTGGTTGGGTGGACCATCTTTACTGCCAAGGTCATGTATCCTCACATTTTATTGGAACTGCATCATTCTGCACCTATTCACAGTGATATCTGATCTGCCCTAGTCTGTTTATACTGGCGGTGGCATTTTAGTTTGACTTTGTGTCCATGTGGACACCATTCACAATGTCTTGTGGTTCTTAACAATTGGACTTAAGAATCAATAATTTCCTGATCTTGAGTGTCTCAGATCAAAACAAAAGATCCCTGAAGTGTTTCAAGTTAACCGTGAACATGTCATCATATCTACATACACATAAAATGTAACAGTGTGTACCTGCATACTGGCAGCCATGACTACCCACAGTCCAGACCTCTCTCCAATAGAAAACATTTGATGCATCATGTAAAAAAAATCATAAAAAAGGCCAGGACTGTTAGAACAGATAGTCCTACATCAGACAAGAATGGGACAACAGTCCCCTCCAAAAAACTCCAGACACTGGTCTCCTCAGTTCCTAGACATGTACAGTGTTGTTAAAGAAGACAGAATATGTTTCACAATCACAACATGCCCCTGCTCCCACATTTTCGAGATGTGTTGCAGTCATCAAACTCAAACCAGAGGGGTCCATCTGTGAATTAGATTAACAAAGACCTTAAAGAACCCCTACTGTGAGGTGTGATAGGTCAATCTGCAAATGTATGTATGTATCTTACCTCAGCTTTATAACTTGAACCCCACACTCCCTGTTCTTTGAACTGAGAAAGCTTCTCAGATGAGAAGCGAAACACATTCTATTACAAATAAAGTCCAGTTTTTGTCTTGAACTTTTTTTAATTTACCATCGTCTGGATGACCGAGAATTTTCACCCGCGTATCAAACTCAAAATTACACTATATTTTCCTGAAAACAGTGCAGTTTTTTTTTTTTGTTTTGAACATGTGTTGTGTTTACTATGTTCTGTTGTTTAAAAGAAGAGTTTATGAAATTAGCAAAACATTAAATTCTGTTTTTATTTACATGTTGCACGTTTTCATAGTGGAGTTCTGTTTCTGTTTATAACTCGACATTATCTTTAACAAAGTTTACAGTTAATTATGATCCGCTAAAACTAGTAAAATAATGTATAAAACCTTATAAATGTAGTTTAAATCCCCCCTGTGACTGACACTGGACGTCCTGACAACATGGCTTTAAGAATCTGTTGGACTCCTGGCAGGGACCAACGCAGACATGTTCCTGTTTTTAGTTTTCTACATTCGCCTTAGAATCTAGCTGTTTTGTTGTTACCTTTTTCTTTTAGCATCCTATTTGTAAAAAAAAAAAAAAAAAATAAAAAATAAAACTGCAGTATGACTTTTTATAATTGTTTATTGTTGTTGCTGTTGTCCATTGTTGTCATCTTTATTTGTTGAAATCAGGTGTCTCTTGTAAATGAGTCCTCGAGGCTCAATGGGATTACCTGTATAAATAAAGGTTGAATGAATTGAATGAATCCTAACCAGTACATTCTAACCGGAAGCTCGCAGCTCTGACCGGAAGTGGCTCTCAGGTTCTAAGCGTCTGTGTTTTTTTTTCCCTGCGTCTTGACTCCAGGTCAATGTTCGGGCTGTTGCCTGTTTGATTTACAACTCTGTAATTTTACACGGGTGTCGCTGCTGCTAAAAGGAGAAGTCTCGTAATTTCTGCACGGATCTTTTAGAGACTTTCCTTTATTTTTCAGACTTGTTCCCTCGGTTTCACTGCACCTTTCAGGCAGAAGGCTGGTTTATTTTAGCCACAGTGCTAGCAGCTTGTGCACAGATCAGAACCGATCAATGCAGGCTATAAAGTGTGTGGTGGTGGGAGACGGGTAAGTTAATTTAGACTTTTACTCTCTCTTTAACCTTTATAGTTTGTTAGTGTGACTATATATTTAACAAATGAAATGTAACAGTTGTTTTGGGTTGACCCAGATAGCAACAGTTGGCTAGCGGCTCACGAGCCTCAGATAAACGGAGCGACAGCTGCTGTGGTCCAGCCGGTCACAGATTTACCTTCACGCTCCTTAAAAACCTGGAAGTTTCATGTTTGAACTCCCCTTCCTTTCTGTTACTATTAAATAAATAAAACCTAATGAAAACTGTGGACCTAATGAAGCATCCCACAGTAAAAATGAGACATTATGCCCATCTGGACCTAATACAATTCCAAATGTATAAAATGTCTACATGTTCAAAGAACAAAAGTTTAAGATAAATTGAATGATTTGAAATATCCCAAAATTATGTATCTGAGTTAATCAAATAAAATTACAGTCTTTAAAAAGTCAAAAGTTGGTGATAATGTCCTGAATTTTCATTAAAGGATGTGAAAAGTTGTCATCCGTAACAAAATTGTCAAAACATTTTTAGGGATTAATCAGTTCATTTTTATTAAACAACTAGCAATAAACCTTTATTTATCCCAAAGATTGAGTTTGTGTATTACTCATTATTCATGTGCATGTTCTCATTATCTTCTCGTTTGTCCTCTCAGGGCTGTGGGTAAAACATGTCTGCTCATCAGCTACACCACCAATGCCTTCCCAGGAGAATACATCCCCACAGTGTAAGACACAAAACACCGCCTAATGATCATTTGTGTTGGCGTTAAAGAGAAAAGTACAGGAAGCTCAAGCAAAGATAAAAAGTTTGATGTTTTCACAGAACAACACCTGCATTTGTCTGAAATGTCACATCTTCTTTGTGTTCCCTCCCTGCAGCTTCGACAACTACTCTGCCAACGTGATGGTGGATGGGAAACCAGTGAACCTGGGTCTGTGGGACACAGCGGGACAGGAGGACTACGACAGACTCCGACCCCTGTCCTACCCACAGACAGTATGTTTCACACAGAGTGCATGTGTTCATGCATCAGACCCAACAATTGATGCTTCCAGTGCACTGTGCTGCATTGATCAGTGTCCGTTATCCCGTGTTGAACACTTCTGTCTTTGTCAGCGTCGACTTGGACTTATTCTCTGGGCTCTAAAGTGTGAAACAGTCCAGCTCAGCAGAGCGGGGCCCTGTTTCTACAGTACCTATACACTGTGTGGATGAGTCTTACGGAAGACAAAACAGCTCTTTTTTGTGTGTGTCTTCATGAAAATATGTCCTTTGTGCCCAAGACTCACAGGGAGCTGAAAGAACAAAACTCTGTATTTAACCAACTGAGTGCATTAGTCATACATTTTCTGTAGAATATAGTTTTGATAAACTTTACCAATAAGATGTGTCCTTCTTTTTAAAGCTAAACATTTTTAAAACACAGGAGAAGGTTGTGTGCTGTAATTTCTGGACTATAGAGCGCACCCAAATACAAGCCGTGCATACAAGAAAAAAATTTAAAAAAATTGTAAGCCGCACTTGTGTATAAGTTGTGGGTGTTCACGTTGTAACAAAAGATATTTACACAGAAATATTGTTTTGAACTTTTAATTAAATACGTACCGGTAACAAACACAAATACATACAGTAAATGTTTTTTGTTTTTTTTTCTGAACAAGGCCTTTAGCACAGCTGGTTAAAAAAAATTAAAATACAGCAGCCTAACAGGAAAAGTCGCTGATCGCTATCTTCGTCTTCCTCCTGTGCACTAAAATCACAAAATTCGTCTTCTTCAGTGTCAGAATGGAACAACCTCAGAAAAACTTCATCACGCACGTCCTCGGTCGCTTTTTTGTTGTTAAAAAAAATACAGTAGCCTATCAGGAAGTTATTGATCACTATCTTCATATTCCTCCTGCAGCAAGCTTATGCTCCGCAGGGCAAAAGTTGCTTTGTGCATGCAGGGGAGTCCCCCCCCCCCCCCCCACCCACATGTTCTGTACAAGGGGGTGGGGATTCCCCACTTCCTCCCCTCCCCATTTCATTGGTTAGACTGTGACCTGTTCTGTAGTTTCACTGGTCAGGTGTTTCTTTTTTGTTTAACCTTTATTTATACAAGTAGTCTCATTGAGTCACGAGGACCCACCCCCAAGAGAGACGTGTATCGGACAACTATGTGGGCACCCAGGTGTGACGAGGTTAAATGTTTTGGCAGCATGAAACTCGTTAGCCCGTCAAAAAAAAAAAAAAAAAAAGCCAAAGCAGCATTGTATAAGCCGCAGTGTTCAAAGCCTGTGAAAAAAGTTGTAGCTTATAGACCAGAAATTACGGTATTTTAGGAAAGTGTTAACAGTCACATCGCCTGTTGTTATCTTTAACATGTCGAGGTTGTGCGCCGTCACAAATACCTGGGGACAATTATTGATAACGGGCTGACTTTTGAGACCCACACAGATTCAGTTTGTGGAAAGACTCATCAGAGGTTATATTTTTATCAGAAGCTCCGTGGTTTTAGTGAAGATTGCACTTTGATGAAAATGTTTTATCCTTCTTCTACTGAGTCTTTTCTTACTTTTAACTTTGTCTGCGGGTTTGGACTTTTAACGTGTGAGAACAAGAACAAGCAGTTGGGCCGTGTTAAGGTGTGCATTAAAGTTGCTGGCACAACCCTTGGCGACCTCACTGACCTGCTCAGGGAGAGCTCAGACTGATCCTGGCAGACCCACATCAGCCGCTGCACCAGGAGTTCAAACTGCTTCCCTCTGGACGCAGATATCTGCTGCCCAGACGCAGGACCAACAGACTCCGAGACGCTTTTATTCCTGCCACAATTAGGTTTTTACATGATTTGGTGTGGTTTTATGAACGTTTTACATGTTTGTTTTTATGTATTTTATACTGTGAAACAAATTGTCCTTAGGGGATGATAAAGATCCTTCAACTTTGAACCTAAAAATTTGATTTTATTATCAAGGTCCTGTCTCTTTGTCTCTCTTAGGACGTGTTCCTGATTTGCTTTTCACTCGTCAGTCCAGCTTCGTTTGAAAACCTTCGTGCCAAGGTGAGAACAGTTCGTTACGTGTTCAAATCATACTGGCTTAATGAAGTGTTTTTTTAATCAGTATTATTATTAATATTTCAACTGTGTAAAACCTGTTTACATGTTTAGTTTTACTACAAGAGACAAATTATTGTAATGTACACATAAATTCAACGTAAGTCGTGGTCAACAAAGACAGTTGAGGGTAAAGAGATTCAAATATCTAACAAAATGAGCAAAAGCTGCCAGTGTCTATAAAATCTGTCCTTTGGACCTTAAAGGAAAGTTTAAATTTAACTTGGCTCTTAAAGTAGCCATAAGCTCGTCGATCTATCTCATTTTTTCTTCCACAACAAAAGTGTTCTCCAGCATTCTGTTAAATAAGTGAGTGAAATTATGTTGGACAATTTAACTAAAAAGGTTTTTACAACTTCCAAATACAGAACATGTCAGGACGGATAAATTAATTATCTATTTATAAAATTATTATGAAATATAATTTTCAGGATTCCTTTGGTTAAAAAAAATGGTTAAGGTCACAACGGTCTTAAAATCTCTGTCACAAGTCAGTCATATGTGGAAATATTTTAAAACTATTTTTACTGATGGGCGGTGATTACAGAACAGCAGCACAAAAATAAAAAGTCTTCTTCTGCCCATTCTGAAAGTAGTGTTCTGTGTCCTCCTGCAGTGGTATCCTGAGGTGAGACATCATTGTCCCAAGACGCCTATAATCCTGGTTGGTACGAAGCTGGACTTGAGGGACGACAAGGACACAATCGAAAAACTCAAGGAGAAGAAATTCTCTCCCATCATTTATCCTCAGGGCTTGGCCATGGCTAAAGAAATCGGTCAGTTGTAGCTCCACTCGACACGATTATATTAATATGATCGAGTTTTCCTGAAAGTGATTGTGTTTCTATACGTCTGTTGAAATGTGGATGAATTATGCTTTGATCTTTGGTTGTCCCTCCCCAAATTTCTCATCCACTTAAGATAATTTAACAAAACTTGATACACATATGCATCATCACTAGACGTACTGTCACATAGGCCTGTCACGATAACACATTTTGCCGGGCGGTTAATTGTCTCAGAAATTATTGCAATAAACGATAATATTGTTTTTGAAATTTGACAATAATTAGTAATGTCAAACTTAAAAAGAAATGTTGGGTAATTTTTGTGTGTACTAACTTTTTTGATCACTAGATGGCAGTATAAGACTGTTTGAACCGAAGGATGGATAGTGAGGGAGTGAGCAGCGTGTCTCTTTAAGAAAAATGGGAGTTAAAATGGATTTTAAAGAGAAAAGAGAAAGGGAGGGGTCAGTGAAGAGCACTGGAGTTGAGCTTTTTGTCATCCAGTGTCTTCAGTAGAAAGAGAGAGACACAAAGAAACAATAAAGCCGGTAAATTACAATGAGGTCGATAATTTTAATTTATCATGAGATTAATTGATTTATTGGTTATTGCGACAGGCCTAGTGTCACGTACATTTTCATCCTTTAGCTTCAAGGTCAAGGTCACAAATCAAGGTGAAATGTTGATGTGTGGGCTCCAGAGTCAGCGCTCCCTGTTTTTTTTTTTTTTTTTTTTTAAGAACTTTTTTTTAACAACATATAAACACAAAACACTGGTGGGGGGGGGGCCCCCCCGTTTTTTTTTTTTTTTTTTTTTTTTTTTTGCGACCTGTCAATCAATTTAGTAGGCGTGTCAGCAGATGACCAGTCAGCGAATTCCATTTGTCCCGAAGGTAAACGCCCCTTGCCTGCGGAGCTGACTGCATCCTGTCAGGGTGGACTCAAGTATGAAGTTTCAACCGTCTGCAGACAGCACAGTTTCCGTACGGATTGAGGACCGCCGGAGTCTGTGGGAGCCTTAAAGCCTCCAGTATACTCCTGTGTACGTCCACGCGTACGTCTGTGCGTACTGTACGCAGAGGGTTCAGACTTTATACTCGAGCGTCCACCCTGAGCAGCTGCAGAGCAGCTTCACAGACAAGGAGTGTTTACCTTCGGGACAAATTGAGGTCGTCAATTGGTCATTTGCTGACACGCCTACTGGATTGATTGACTGGTCGGAAAAAAAAACAAACGAGCACTGGTAGCCCCAGCCATAGCGGTGTTCTGTGTTTATATATTGTTAATAAATAGATCTACAAAAAAAAAAAAAAAGGTAGCTCTGGTCCTGCAGCCCACACATCAGACCAGCCCACCAGAAAATCTCCAGACCCTCCTGCAGCCATGCTGGACCTGAGTTTAATTCACTCGTGACAAATTCCTTCATTTCTCACCATGTCAGTCATGGCATCAACCGAGGAGGAAGAGATCACTGCCTTTTGGCAAAAAACAAAAACAAAAGAAAAAGCCAGATCAGGGATGAAGAAGGGGAATTTAATACATTGGTGTCACATACAAAACAGTCCGTTGCCGGGCAGTTTATTGTGCGACACAGAGTGCGCGGTCATAAAAATTGAGCTTTGCACGGACATGCCCTGCGGGGGTACGCTTGTACCTCCGCGTACGTACGCGGGAGTATACTGGGGGCTTAAGTCGGTCCATCACTAGAGCAAACAAGAAGGGGCTCAGAGCCGATCCTTGGTGCACTCCCACCTCCACCTTGAAGCTATCTGTCACTCCTACAGCACATCTCACCACTGTCCTGCTGTCCTCATACATGTCCTGTACCAGTCTAACATACTTCTCTGCTACTCCAGATTTCCTCATGCAATACCACAACTCCTCCCTCGGCACCCTGTCATATGCTTTTCCTAAAGACACAATGGAGTTCTTTCTAACCCTCTCTGTACTTCTCCATCAGAATTCTCAAAGTAAAGATGGCATCTGTGGTGTTTCCTCTTCTCCCTCTGTCTCCTGACATGTAACATGTAACCGTAGCACAATTTCCACCAAGACCCTGTTTGTCAACAACACCGGTGGCGGTCGTCGTTAACCCAGGCTTCGACCGATCCAGTATGGTTTCTCTTTGATGAACTCGCATTACAGTTTTGGCAAAAGTGTTTTGTGTCGGATGCCCTTCCTGGCACAACCTTCACCATTTACCCGAACTTGGGACCGGCACAAGAGAGACACTGGCTTGTGCTCCCTAGTAGCTGGTTTGGGATTTCACTTGAATAATTATTTATATCCTAAATTGTGGGATACATACAAAATACATTTAAATTGAAATGATTCAATCATCATGTGTGTAAAGACGTCTGTTCTGGATTCTTTGAAAGTGTTTCTCTCTCATCCAGAAAACCTTTTAGTTCTGGGTCATCACAGCCAGAACAGAAGTAGCCTTTCCCAAATAAACATCCTTGAGAACCAGAAAAAGAAGGTTGGAAATGTGGCAGATGCTGCTTTCATATAACTTGCTGATGACTTAAACATCTGGAAATATGATCTGTTATCTTCTTTGGGTTGTTTGTGGGGTCTTAGAGGTTCATAATTATTTAAAAACCTTTGAACTGTTTTGATGGGAAAACAAACGGATAATTGTACTGTATTATATGTTAAAAACACATACAAGTTTTGTTTGACCTGTTTATTCCTATTGATATCCAGGTGCAGTGAAATATCTGGAGTGCTCAGCTTTGACGCAGCGAGGCCTTAAGACGGTGTTTGATGAAGCCATCAGGGCGGTCCTGTGCCCCCAACCTCTCAAAAAGACCAGGAGAAGGAAGTGCATCGTATTGTAATGGAGATCCAAAGCAATTAGAAAACACAGCTGCAGTAAGACCTCACCTTCTTGAAGGAGCAAAGATAAAAACGAGGTTCCTGAAAGTATTTTTTTATCCTATGTCCTGACTTGCATGAGCCCCTTTCAGACTTTGAAGCTGAGCCTGAGAAGCCTTTTCCAGCACTGTTGACACGTGTGAACTGACCGAGACAGAACGGAGAGCTTGAAGTAGATTCATCACTGATGCACCTCTGAACCAGATATGACGGTAGTCACAGAGCTGAGTTGGCAGGTATGTGTGGAGAGTGCAGCCAACAGCGCTCTGATGGTTCTGCTGTCTCTCTGCTGCTTCACCGATGGCAGTTTTCGTTATTGCTGGACTTGATCAGCTTGGTTGGTTCAACTGGAATCGACGTGCAGAGGGGATCGTCTCTGAAGCTGTGCTTGGAGTCGGAGTGTGAAGGGGGCTGTCGTAGATCAGACCGCCATCTGAAAGGACTTAAAGACCCAAACAGTGACCTGTATTATCCGAGAGGTTTTGTCAAATTTTTCATTCTATATTTCTGACTAAAATCTTTTTTAGCGAGGTCATTCTGTTTAAAGTGAAGGGTACATATTTACAGTAAAACTAATGCATAAATGTGAAGGTTTTATGAAATTTACATTTTAACACCAAAGTTCTAATGAAGGTTTTGCAAAGACTTTGCATTTTCTATGTCTTGTTTATTTCTCTATATTTTAGTTGTTTTAAGAAGAATTTGTCTTTGAAGCAACAACATTCAGACATCACAACGTCGGTGTCCTTCAGTCAGGCATGGCTTTAAACTAGTGAGGAGAACCATGTACGTTGTACAGTCTTGAAATGTGTGTAAAATTAGACAATGATATTATGTAAATGTAATCGCTAAATTATTAGGTATTTTTAAATGTTATGGAAAACATTTTTTGGGTCCAGATACTGTAATGGTTACTGGGAGTTACAGACTGTCCTCACTTTTTGCTCTTTTGTGTTTCAGCCAGGTTCTCCATCTTTGTTCACTTAATAATCAGTACCCCTTAAAGGCAATTTATATACATTAAGAATGAGTGAGTTATTTTACTTATTCGGGCAACAACACTTGAAAGTTACATTTAAAAAAAGTGTATAAATATAATTCTTTAACAATTTGTTGTTACCATAAAATTAAAATTGCATGTATTTTTTTCCTACAAAGGTGCAATTTCTTACTTGAAACATTTAATATTTTACTCTTTCATTGAGAATAAAGTATGGGTTTATAAGATTTGCAAACCACTGCATTCTGTTTTTATTTGCTTTCTACACAACTTGTTTAGTATCATATTAAAAAAAATGCATGCACGATATCTGGACCTTTTTATTAACTACCTAAACTACAAGAACCTTTTCTTTTTCCTAACACTTCTAATCATCCAGTGATTATATTCAGATGTCTTTACATCTTTCAGCACATGACTTGAACAATGTGATTTAATTTAATAATGAAAATAAAGTACCAGTAAATGTCCGTCAGTAGAAGAGTCTAATAATGAGGTTTATAATTCAGTCACATTTAGTGCTCTGTGCAAACAGTTCTCTGGCCAGAGGATGACCTCTTTCTACAATTTATTATTTCCAGCTTCTTTATTTCAGACTGATTGGACGATATGTTAACAGTTTTTGATTTCCTGAACCTGAGAGCAAAAATCTTGCACATAATTTTCTCCGACATGATCTGCCCTCTGGTGTTTGAATATCAGACTGAAATTGGTGCTTGATGCAAGTTCAAGTGTTCTATAGCTGCAGAAGTATGGTGATAATGTTACTGCCCTCCACCTTATACACATTTCAGACTTTCAGCCCACAGGGAATTAAACATTTAAGTATTGGCATGTTTTATAATCACAATTCAAAACGTAACCTCTGAGTCATGGTGGAACAGTGAGAGGTTAAAGATGTTGCCTTTCAGTGCTAAGATTACAGGTTAACCTCCCGTCCTTTCTGGGTGGAGTTTGCATGTTCTCTCCGTGCATGCGGGAGTTTTAGTACTCCAGTTTCCTCCCACAGACTAAAAACATGCATGTTAGACTGATTGGTAACTGAATTGTCTCTAGTTGAGAGTCAGAGAGTGAATGGTTGTTTGTGTCCCTGTGAAGGACTGGAGACCTGTCCAGGGTGTCCCCCGCCTCTCACACAGTGACCCACCCGTGACCCAAAATGGAAGAAACGGGTAAAGATAATGGATGGATGTGTAAAAAAAATATCTGGCTACATTCAAAGATAAACCAGTTGAGTGTCTGAAATATTTCTGCACCTTTACGTGGCTCGTGTTGCTGGTAAGGAAAGGGAAGTTGAACCTTTTTCTTCAGGTTCTTTCATTCAGTTTCACTTTATGTGTTGGTACAAAACAAGACTTGATAATTGTAGCTGCTTTAGTTTGTCTGAATCTATAATGAAATCAAGCTGTCCAGTGAAGACCATGAAGTGTGTGGTGGTGGGGGACGTGTAAGTAAATGACTGTCTTATTGTTGGTGTGTTTGTATAGTTATGGTGTCTGATCTCTGCAGTTATTTTGAGTCCGAAGCTAAAAAGTTGCGCAACAACTGGTTTATTTTCTGTCCAAGCTCTCAAAGCTCTGAATAGCTACTATTAAAATGTAATAGATTCTGTTCTTGTGAATGCAATAAAGCTGAAAATTACACTTAAAAAAAAGCATCTTTAATTGTTGACACTGTGTAAAAATGCTCCTAGTTTCATGAGTTGTAAAAGTTGAAAAGCTTCATATAGTTCTGTCATTTTAGTTTACATTTTGTTTGTCTTGGGGTTAAGTGTACTCGATAAATTCAAACCTTTTGATATTTTCCTGACGCAAAGAAAAGCTAAATTTAAAATGAAAATGATAAATTCAACTTCCTTTAATGTAGGTAAGTTGTTTGGCATGCTGCCAACTGGATCAACATGAAAAGGACTACAGTATGTGTAATGTATATTAAATGTTGGAGGTACAGAAACTTTGACACCCGACACTGACGGCACCACTGCTCCATGTCTTGATGTGGGAGATGATCGCAGTGAACTGGAACCAGCGCTGAAGTAACTCGGTGTTCCGTGTACGTCGATTCCAGGCTTCGTCAGGAATAACATCCGGTGTAAACCAAATCTTTTCACTCTCTGTGGTGACCCCTGCAGAAGAGAACAGCTAAAAAAAGCATCTTTGTCTTTCCTCATTGCTGTCTTCCTTTTTTTTAATGGACAAAATGGAGAAATATAATTACCAATTTTTAAAAAAAGTAGATTTAGTATAAAAGAACTTTTTTATTTTTAATTTTTACAGAAACTCTATATCCGTTTTGGTTAACCGTCAAATAAAATGGATTGACTCATGTAAAGCAAGTTTTGAAAATATATAATTTGCTGAACGTTATTGTCTAAAAAATATATTGATACTATTCAGTCAAAAAAAAGAAGCACCTGTTTTTTAAATATCATTCTTCTGTTCTCATTATTCTGTTTTGTCCTCTCAGAGTGGGTAAAACATGTCTGCTCATCAGCTACACCACCAATGCCTTCCCTGGACAACTCATACCCACAGTGTAAGACACACGACACCATCCAGTGACCAGCTGTGGTCAGGCTAAATAAGAACATGGGAGTAGGTGAGGGAGAGGCAAAGAGGGTAGTCTGAAGGTGCAACAAGAGTTCTGTATTGGACAAAAACTTTACATCGTCACGGTGTTCAACATTAAATAAGATACTGTCAGAAAATAATTGTTAATTTTGATTGATGATATTCACACCCTCAAGTTTTGACAACTACTTTGCCAACGTGATGGTGGATGGGATAGCAGTGAACCTACAACTGTGGGACACATCAGGAATTGATGCATACGACAGGCTCAGACCGCTGTCCTACCCACAGACAGTACGTTATCTATCTATCTATCTATCTATCTATCTATCTATCTATCTATCTATCTATCTATCTATCTATCTATCTATCTATCTATCTATCTATCTATCTATCTATCTATCTATCTATCTATCTATCTATCTATCTATCTATCTATCTATCTATCTATCTATCTATCTATCTATCTATCTATCTATCTATCTATCTATCTATC